TTTCTCGGTGTGGGGATCAGACCTGTAACCTGCATGTGAATAACCAATTAAGGTGGGAGACCCACCCTTCGGGAAATATAACCCCAGGTCTATAGACCCTTGGAGGTAGCGTAGAAGATGCTTAACTCCATTCCAGTGGCGCTTTGTGGGCGCTGCACTGTATCTGGCTAGTAGGTTAACTGAAAACGCTATTTCGGGATGCGTACAGTTAGCCAGATATAATAGTGCTCCAATGGCACTAAGGTAAGGTACTTCAGGACCTAGCATTTCCTCCCCCTCTTCCAGCGGACGGAAGGGGTCGTTCTTTACATCCAATGATCGAACAACCATTGGTGTACTAAGAGGATGACATTTATCCATTCGGAATTTTTTAAGTAATTTCCGTGTATATGTGGATTGGTGTAACAGGATACCACCCTTAAGGTGTTCGATCTGTAAGCCAAGACAATACTTTGTTTTGCCTAGGTCTTTCATTTCAAAAGTATTCTTAAGGCTTTCAGATATCCCAGCGATCTCTGCAGGAGATCCAATGAGATTTAAGTCGTCGACATAGACGGCGACTATAATGAATCCTGTTCCCGATCTTTTTATAAAGATACACGGGCAGACTTTATCATTTGTGAATCCTTGCGTAGCAAGGAACTCACTTAGTCTGTTATACCACATTTTCCCCGATTGCTTAAGACCATATAATGATCTTTGAAGCCTAACAGAATAGACGTCCCGAGGTCTATCTGCTATCTCTGGTGGAATTTTATATCCTTCAGGGAGTTTCATATAGATATCTTTATCTATATTGCCATATAGATATGCAGTCACAACGTCCATGAGCTGCATTTCTAGGCCTTCCAGAGATGAGAGGCTTATTAGGAATCGGAAGGTATTCCCATCCATAACCGGAGAATATGTTTTTTCATAGTCTATTCCCGGTCTTTGGGAAAAACCTTGTGCTACAAGCCGTGCTTTGTAGCGCACAACCTCGTTGTGTTCATTTCTTTTTCTGATGAACAAGGTGTTTGTTGCTCGGGAACAAGGTGTTTGTTGCTCGGGATAATGTCTTTTTGGAAAAGGATTTCTTTTCCAAGAAGTCAAGTGGGAGAAATGTTCAGCTTGATGAGATTCAACAAGAAGTCAAGTGGGAGAAATGTTCAGCTTGATGAGATTCAACCTGAGCAACAAACCCTACAGCATGAGGACATAGAAGATGTCACAGAGGAACTTGATTTTGGAGGTGAGATTCAACCTGAGCAACAAACCCTACAGCATGAGGACATAGAAGATGTCACAGAGGAACTTGATTTCATATAGAGCATCTAAAGTTTCCTGCAATTCCGCTTAGAGCATCTAAAGTTTCTACAGTGGCCAAAAGACACTATCCCGAACAACAAACACCTTTTTCTGATAACGTGTTTGAAACTCTTCCATAGGCCAAAGGCCTATGATGTATATTTATAGATAGTCAACGTGAATAGGTTGAGTACCCAAGAGTCACCCCCACTTAATGGGGTGTTACACCATCATAAATGGGGTGTGAATGGAGGGATAATGAGGGGGAGGCCAAAGGCCTCCCTCATCTCATAATAATACATGTTTATTAAGAACCTAATTAATTTCTAATTTACATTATACCATTCATTCAATTTCTTAACCCTCTATTATTTTTGATAATCTTTTTTCCATTATGTTACCTATCATCAAGCTAGGACATAGAAGGAAACATTTAACACAAAGTGTTTACTTTTATCCAGCCAAAAAAATTGCTACAACGAACTTAAAAATTTCCACAACAAATTAAAGAAAGATTAATTAGCTTTTGATGGATCCAATCCATCTACACACCCAACTCGAAGGCAAAAAGAATAAAAATGTGCAGCTTAATCCAGCTAGGTACTCACTTGAGCGAGTTCATACATATCATGGGGAAATTTGATGCTTAATAAATCTTAATAATGCGTGTCCATAGGATTTTGCCGCCTGTTGCCGGCCAAAGGGAACATGGAGGTTGTTGCATTGTCTCCGGAGATTTGCTACATTACGTTGGAGATCTCAAACATTTGCATAGTTTGCATTCTAATTTTGTCCGGCTCCGGTTTCAACCCATTAAGAGAGGCATCTCCAGCCCATTTGTAAGCATTTTGGGAGCTTGTTTTATGCAAGTAGTCAAGATTAGATTTATTATACATTGAAAATTTTCAACCCTAGAGAATCTAGTGTTATGTAGTGGAAATAGAATAATGAAGGAGAGAGAACGTATAAGAGCTAGCTTGCAAATTCAGGGGTAGGGCGCCTCACGTGATGGGTAATTAATCAAATTAAAGGGTTAATGGTATTGGTTAGTAGTTGTTTATTAACTTGAACGTGTGGCAAGAGTGGTGTTACCACACAATCGTGGAAAGTTCTGGTTTTAAAAATTAGGAAATACTACTTTCGCCTACCAAGGTTAGTTGGATATTAAATATGGTAGTAAATCAATCTAATTAACTTAAACCCTTGACATGTTTATGTATTATAACCAAAATTTTTAATTTAACGCATGAACACCTAACAATCTCTCTCTTTGTGGATGTATGTTTTGATCAATGGGAAATCATGGATCAAAGAACCATCCATCACCTTTGGATAATGACTTGAGCTAAACAGATGATCATGAACCATAATCTATTGACCAGCAACATTCATTAAATCAAAAAAAATTAACTAAAGAAAGATTGAACTATTGGTATTACCACTAAATTTTGATTAAATTTATCTCCTTTTTAGAATACAGATTTATCAAAATAGTTAAATTTCCCTATTAACCCTCTACCCTCACGGACATACATCTCCCTATTTTACAGGGGGTGTTTTGATAAAACTAACCCTGAGCTTTGTGAATTACACTAAACCCCCATACACTTTCAGTGTTTTGTAATAAACCACTATGAACTTTCAAAATCACACCAACTGCCAATAACTTTTGCAGAAATCCCCCAATATCTTTTGGGTAAATTATACTAAACCCTCAACAACTTTCAAAATGCATTTTTATGTTGTTTTCTAGTTCTATTCTATGGAGGTTATTTATAAAAGGCAAAAAGTTATTAGGGACTTTCTGTGAAACAAAATAGCTATTAGGGGTTTAGTGCCATTTTGAAAGTTCATCATGGTTTAGTTCAAAATACTAAAAGTTCAAGGGGGTTGACAACTCTCAAAGTAAGGGTGGCAATTTATGACCCGACCCACTAACCTAACTCGACCCGATCTGTTATAAATGGGTATGGGTCATTTTATATGGGTCAAGTCATAAATGGGTATGAGTCACTTTAATCTCTGTCGAGTCATAAATGGGTCAACCCAAAGAACTCATTTATTAATCGGGTCGTAAACGTCAATGCACCGACCTGTTTAACTTTAACTTATTTATCATTCAACCCTTAGCATTCATAATTTGTAAAAACACACCCATAAAATATCAATACATAAAATATCAATATTTATGAATACTATAAAATCCAGAAATTACATAGAACATTATGAAAATTTTACAATTAGTAGAAAACACGTTTAGCGATTAAAAATTTAAAAAACATCCTCAAAATTTCAAAATTTACCAAAAACCATGAAAATAACTTACAAAACAGTACAAAAATCTATAAATTATAAACAACACAATAAACATTTTAAAAATTTGCAATAAACACCCTAATAGTTCTAAAATTGTAAACTACATCCTCAAAAAGTCAAATTTAGGAAAACACAGTCAATAAATATCAAAACCTACAAATAGTACAAAGTCTAAAACTTATAAAGAGCACCATGAAAATTTAAAAATTTGTTTAAAACACCCTAACAGTTTCAAAAGTTTTAAAAAACACCCTAAATAAGTCAAATTTAAAAAAAAAACACACACATGAAAAATCAAAATCTACAAACAACTACACAATGCATAACTTAAAAATAGCACTATGAAAATTTTAAAATTTACAAGAAACACCTAATAGTTTCAAAAAAATGCAAAAACACCCAAAATAAGTCAAAATTTTAAAAAACCAAAAAAAAATTAAAACTCACGAAAAGTGAAATTTATATAATTTATAAATTATAAAAACCAGCTTAAGTTTTGAGTTTTGTAAAAAAACACCCTAAATGTATGAAAAATTGCAAAATACATGAAACATGCTCTGAAAATATCATAACTTACAAAAAATATGAAATCTATAAAGTTTCAAAATTACAAATTACACCCTCAAAATAGTTAAATTTTCAGAAAGACACCACATAAATATCAAAACTAATAAATAGTACAAAATCTATAACTTACAAAGAACGACATGAAATTTTTGAAATTTGCAGTAAGCATCTTAAATATTAAAATCGCAAGATACACCCTAAAAAGCCAAATTTTACAGAAATACATGCCAGAAATATTAAAACTTACAAACAGTATAAAATCTATAGCTTAAAACCAGTAACATGAAATTTTTGATATTCGCAAAAAACACCCTAAAAGCTTCAAAATTACAACAGACACTTTCAAATTTTAAAAAATAACTGAAAAGTCGAAACTTACAATGGGTATAAATCTTATAAATTAGAAAAATTCCACTAAGAAAATGATATTTGTAGAAAACACCATAGAACCTTTAAAATTTATAACAAACACCTTCAAATTTTAAATTTTAGAAAAAAACACCCTGAAAATCTCTAGACGTCTAATCGGTAACCAAACCTATGATTGATAAATAGGACCATAAAAAACAATTAAACGGGTCACATGTTGTGACCCGATGGGCAACCTGTTTAATAAACAGGTGCACCTGGTTATTTAATGGGAGAGGTCGGATCAAAGTTTATATGAGTCCAGTTGGAACCAAAAGGGTTAATGTCCTTGTGGTTCTGCAAACAGGTAGAGCCCAACACTGCAGTCGAAGTGAAAACCATGACAAACAAAGTAAAAAGTAAAACGGAAACAACGCCCAGCAGTAAAAAGCTCGGAGCAACCAGACCGAAACTATTATCTTATTCCCCTCCCCTCCCCTCGCCACTCTATAAAATCCAGCCGCACCCGCTCACCGTCCTCATCGCCTACCTTCATCCAACCGAAACTAATTCACACCTCGATCGCCTCATTTCATCTCAATGGCTTGGTCCGCAGAGAACGCCACCAGAGCCTACCTCCACACCCTCAAATCCGTAAGCTGGCCTAACCCTCGGCCTCAATCCCCGCGGACGTATTCTCCTCTACCATTTTGATCTCAGTACGAGTCACGTTCTAACGTTTACAGATTCCCCCTTTTAATTAATTTACAGGGCAACAGGCCAATGGAAATTACAATTACAACCTGGTATCTGCACATATGACCCCATGATCATTTAAATACCAAATTAACCCAACTTAATTGATCACTTTAGTGGGTTATCCTGAAAGATAGCAATACACATTGTTTAATCATATGTGCCCACAAATAGATTTATTAGATTAAATCCAACACCCGGGCCTCGTACGAGTCGTCGCAGGCGACGCTTTGGAGCTCATCTCGAACGAGTACAAAGCGGCCGACTTCGTGCTCGTCGATTGCGCGCTTAGGGACCAGGAGAGGGTGTTCAGAGCGGCGCAAGTTAGCGCCGCGGAGGCGAGCGGGGGTTTGGTTGTGGGACTCAATGCGTTTGATTGCGAGAAGTTTAAGGGGAGTGGGAGGTTGAGGGTGGATTTGCTGCCGATCGGAGGGGGGCTTAGGGTTTGCAGAGTGCCGAAGAGGGAGAGACTGAGGAGTCGGTGGGTGGTGAGGGTCGATGAGTTCACCGGAGAGGAGCATGTTTATAGGATCGCACCACCAGTGCAGAGGAAGATGATTAGAGCTTAGAGCCTTTTTAATAGCGGCTCTTCTTGTTGTAGCTAATAGGGGGAATGTAGAGCCTTTGTGTGATTCTAGAGTTGTTGCAAGATGTATATATGTTTTCTTTCTTTCTTTCTTTTTAATCGTGTCTGGAATCGAACCTAGCTTCCCAGGAGCGACACGGTTTTGACATGTGACCTACTGGGTCGATCTTGATCGTTTTTCTTGCTTTTGTTATTGATGTTTGTAGATGTAAATGTTGATATTAAGAAGATTTTTAGTTCTTTAAATGATTTTAAGAGGAGCAGTGTTATGCTATTATGATTTACATAGACAGTTTCTCTTTTATTTTGCATAAATCATAAATAATCTCCCCCCATCATATTTTAAGTGACACATACAATAATCACTCACCTCCATGTATTACTTACTACTTGTTATCCCTTAGTTACAGTGCAGCGGGGGAGAGAGAACAAAAATGAAGCTAATATGTCAAAATAGAATTTATTAATAAATATAATTAACATTTAATTAAAATCAGGCCACCTTTTCAATTTTCATATGACTTTGTCATTTTTTAGGGGAAATGAAAATTACACCAAACTATATGTGACAATTTCTATGCGTTTCAACTTTCACGGTCACTTTGCGTGCAAACAAGCACCTAAAAAGTTAAGAACACCTAAATTGTTAAAAATTATCTCACTTTTGTTATTGACTTGTATGCAAATAATCACCCCTTAATTCATTCAAAAACAGTTGCAACTAAAAAACTGCTTTCTAAAGAAAGATATAGTGAAAAGCTGAAGTATCGGAATTTGTTTCTTAGTTTCAAAAGTAGTTATGCGTTATTAGATTTGTTGTAGTTATCAAGCAATTTTTGTTAAGTTTACACAGAAATGAGATAAAATTAGGTAAATTAATAAAAAGTTCGAAATGTGTTTTATCAGCATTGGGCCTTGCAAAAAATACCAGATCTAATCATTGCCAAAGAGTAAATTGAAGATGATAAAACGCTAAAAGCTACTGCAGAAATAAATTTCATGTGTATTCATATATAATTGTAAAAATCTTTACAAGACAGAATTGTGCTCGGCAATGAAAAAAAAAGGGGTCAAAGTTTTGACTAGTGACAGAAGTTGTCGTAAGGAGAGCAGGTTGGGTAGAATGAGAGTACAGCCTGGAATGGCCTTGTATTGATTAACAGTCTATCTAAGGGCAAATTATCAAAGGTACTCTTTTGTCTTTCACGATAAGCAAATTCAAATGAAAGTATATCATGTAATTGTACATTAGATAGTATAAAATCAATAGATGATTAAAAGCTTTATCTTGAAGGTAGGCTTATCATGTAATTGTACATTAGATAGTATAAAATCAATAGATGATTAAAAGCTTTATCTTGAAGGTAGGCTTCAATAGAGTGTATACCTTTCAAATCCAAAAATCAATAGATGATTAAAAGCTTTATCTTGAAGGTAGGCTTCAATAGAGTGTATACCTTTCAAATCCGCGATAATGATTAACTTTGCTAATGGCAAAATGGACGACCTAGCAAATCATGACCTGATACTTACGTTCCATTATGTTACTATCTTCGTTTATTCTGCTTGTGTGCTCGTCATAACTACCATTTTCAACCTGAAATTTCCTGTGAAGATCTTTGAGAATATGGGATTTAACAGCTTTCTCACAAATGCAGTCTCCGGCTCCCATACAGTATCATATTTGTGGCTGGCATTAATACCTTTTTTAACGGAATAATTTTAACGTTTTGTCAATCAGGTGTTCCCTACTCCAGTTGATTGAGAGATAATGGTATAAACTTGAAAATCAACACTTATCTTATCGAATTTAGAGAGTAAAAATATGATGCTTCCCTACTCCAGTTGATTGAGAGATGGTGGTATAAACTTGAAAATCAACACTTACCTCATCGAATTTAGAGAGTAACAGCAACCAAAAAATTACATGAAGAAGAAGAAGAAGAAGAATACAAAACAAGTTACAACCTCAGTGCCGCAATTGCTTCAGGTTTAAAGTCCAATCTCAGACCTAAAACCCTTCTCACCTCAGAAGGAGTTAGTAACCATGTCATATGCCCTGCATTCTCCCCCCAGAAATCCAAAATCTCAGATACTCTCTCGAAATTCAAAATCGTCGTCATCTGTGACAGACGAGCAAACTTATCTCGTACCGGCCTCTGCGACATCTCAGAGAAATGATTAACCAGTGCTCTAACTTCCCTATCAAGCTGAAGCCCCCCAAGCTGGCTGAATCTTTTTTGCATCATTATTACTTCCAATCTCTTCACAATGAAATCAATAACCAAATGAACGAAAAGATCATAGTTGTTTGATGTCATGAAAGGCTGCAGCCATACTATATTGCTCTCAACAGCGTGAAGAAGCTTCTGGACCCATGGATCATTCATTTCATTTTCTTCATATTCAGCATCTGAGAGCTCGTAGCTGATGGTTGCTACAGTGTCCAGAACTGGGCGGATACGAGGTGTGATAGTTGATCCCAGCTGCTCCATCCCTGCGTTTAGTACTTGTTTGAAGACATTGTGCATCTCAGCGAACTCAGATAAGCAGGTTTTGACTTTCTCTCTATCTACTGGAGCAGGGAATACCTGATTGACAAAATGTGAAATTGGATGAGAAAGCTAGGAAAGCTATTACAGAAAAGTGGATTAAATAATGTTAACAACAAAAATGTGATTTCCGCTTTTAAATTACCCATATCTCCAGATATTCTTTTAACAGCAACTTCAGGTTGAAAATGGTATTATCGTAATTAGTATACATGTAGAAAGAACATAAAGTTACAGAACTGGCTTATTCATATGTAAGCGTAGTTCAATATTGGTTGGTCATTCATTTTGTCATCAGCCAAATAATATCATCGACTTGCCACATATACAGTCAACTGAGGCCAAGTAGCTCCTTTAAGATGAAGCTTCTTGATCTTGACAAATGCTAACCTCATATCAAAACACTATACAAAGTGAACCTAAAAGTCCATCAGATTATTGATTTTGTACCATCCAATGGATAATCACTAATGTATCAGATATCTGAAAGGAAAATAAATGACTTCAATAAGTCAACTTCCTTCTGCAGCAACATCCAAAGTCCTTGTAGGAAGATATGAAGTCCCAACCCGACCCCACGCTCGCTATTACATACAATTTCCTCTCAGCTGGCACTCGTGCCCCAGTAAGAATAGTTCATTCAAATCCCTACACTCAAATACGTTCATGTGTACAGTAAAAAAGGTCTTCCGAACACCTTACTATGCATCTGAACCTTCTTTAGTAAAGGGCTACCCCAAAGAATATATAAATCAAGGAAACTCCCCATCAAGGAAACTCCCCATCCTATCGGCAACCTTACTTTGAACTTGCTAACCAGTACCACTCTATTCAAAAGTAGTTACTGGAACGCTCTCCTTAATCACTATTTAAGACTTTACCTTCATCATGGAGCCAATTATGGAGTTTAACTACAAATTTTAGCGCACCACATAATGAGTAGCTACATGTATACTTGATTGCTAACCATCTAAACCGACACAGGACATGTCAAGAGCATGAACACCGGACATGTCAATCCCTTAAAAAGCAGGACATAGGGACACTGGATCATGAATACACACACATGCGTGTGTGCATGCATGGATATGTGCATGTGTGGATGTACATATGTAAGCAGAAGCATAGACGTGTTTATGCATCCAACAATCAAAAACAATTACTACTAATCCGACACTATTCTCAAAGTGTGTTGAATGTTAAAACATTTCTTTCGAAAATGACCTTTGATTTGTGAAGGTGACATTTATGTCATTATGGATATCTATGCAATTTTTGTGTCTCTTGATGATAGAACACACATGCATACATACATGAACCTACAATCATACTCAATATGAATTTAATAATTACAATAAATCTAGAGATCCATGCAGCTCCAATTAAATTAATTAAATCAAGTGTAATAATTTTATATCAAAATATATTACTATATATATAATTTATAGTATTAGGTGCATAGATTTTATTCAATAATGTTTGGATTTTGTTCACTATGTGTGTGTGTCTGTGTGTGTACAATATTTTGATAATACATATAACATCCTTACTTCTCAAATTCTTTTAACTCGATAATGTTAATTAAATAATATAAATAGTTTGCTCTAGATACTCCAATATTATTTTATCATAAAAGAGTTAGTAGAATATTATAGAATAAACATATAAATCACTTTAGGTATTATAATATTATATAATAATAATAATAATAAATGAAATATATAATATTAGTGCTTAAAATAAAAATAATAAAAATCATATTTAAAAACTCATTCGACCATACAAATACTCAAGCATAACCCCCAAACTAAATCCACCAATAAACCCATAAAATCTCCATTAAATTAAATAATTAATCAATATTAATTAACCCTCTCATTTCCCTCAAATCTAACTCCTACAACATCTCTTTCCTATATAATACCCCTCACCCTCAAAATTTCACCACACAATCAATCATCTACAATCAAAAAAATACCTCCACCATCTCAATTTTGTACCAAAAGAAATCTTATTCTACAACATTTTACCATCATTTATCATCAACAAACCAAACAACCAAACAACTCATTCTACCTCAATCCAAATTCAAAATCAACTCATTCATAAGTAGTTTGTGCACGAGATGCCGACAAGAGGCAAAGACAATCCTGATGTTCGATATTTCTTTGGACCAATATTAGGAGGATATGGAATGGTTCTAATATCGTGTGGGATTTGCATATGGGTGATGATTTTATATTTAATAATTACTTAGAGGATGAGTTTGTTTATTAGAATTTTTTGATATGGCTTTATTATTTTTCTCAAGTTCACTTGAGAATAAAAATTTCTTCACCTGAAATTTACTCATAATCTACTTAATTTAGATTAATACATGGAGGGAGTGCCCCAAAATAGGTAATTTTATGTGTATCCATTTCTATTAGTTAGAGAAAATATGAAGAAACGTGCATTGAAGATTATGCACATGTTATTTCCAACTTCTGCAACTACCTTACCAGGAACAAACTTTCCCCAAAACAAAGAATAAATAATTGTCTTTTGAAGATTTTTTTCCCTATTATAAATTTACTTAAACATGAAATCCTTGAGCACAATTATGTACACACCAATTATATATAGCTTTGTAATATAGTTGAATTAATCCAGATGGCTCTGAGCAATTATTCAAAGTAAGATTCGATGCTTGCTATAACGCATCATAAATCATCTCAAATCGATCAACAGTCCCGCGTTAAACAAGATCAACCAATCATCTATCAAACTTTATGAAATATTCAGAAACTTCACAAGAAACAGAGAATTGGGTTGATTTTGTTTATAACTATATATTTAATAATGATTTAGGGGTAAATTTATTTGTTGAGCCCTTGTAGTTACATGAACGCATGTGATGGAGCTTCTTTTAGTGTTGATTTGTATAAAAATAAATCTTTCTTGCAAATTTGCATATAAATCACCTATTGTCTATAAAATTTATCAATGTCATGTGTAATTAAAGTAAATAGAATTGTCCTTTAGGTTTTAAAAGATAGAACATCTTTTAGGAGTATCTTTTAGGTATTCTAAAGGCTGCAAGTTTTTAGGTTTTAGAAGACAGAATATCTTTTAGGTACTGTTTTACTTTCAGGTTTTCTTTAATGGATAGTATGTTTTAAACTTCCGTGAAGAAGGTTGTAAACATTGCTCACTTTCATGCATGAAATACAAAATAGCTTTACATCACATGGCAATGGAAATTGTTCACATTGCCATCTTGAAAATGCAATATAAACAATAAAATTTCACAGCAGAGATCCTCCCCAATCATTAGTTTACTAATATCCACCACCACTACCACTGTCATCACTGTACATTTTTATTTGATCTCCACACCAGTCTATGAAGGCCTGTTGCCATTGATCAAATTGTGAAGACATTGAAGCAGGTTAGTACAGAAGAAAGAGGGCAAAAAGGGGGCGGCTGTGGTCGAGGGCAGAGAGGAGGGAAAGGAGGTGGAGGGAGGAGAGCGGCCGTTCAAGAAAAAAGTTAAAGAAAACGGACACGCGCATTTCAACCCCAACTAATTTGAGAGACTAATATCAACATATTAATGTGATTTCAGAGACTCGTCGTATGAAGATTTTGATGCACTTAATATCAAAATAACTGTGATTTAAGGGACTAATATCTGAAAAAAGTGTTCATACAAACAATCTCATGTATAGACAAAGAATTATGCTTTTATAGTAGAGTGACAAAAGATTTCAAAATTGCTACTATGAATCAAACTTTATTCATCCGTTTAATTTTATTGATTATCTAATATTCTGGGTTTCATGATGGATCTTTTTGTTGAAATGTCACAAAGTGTTTATTCGCGGCTGAAAACTACCTGCACCGAAATCAAAGGATTACATGCTCAAATAGTTATATATCTTCTCTTCTATACATTTATACATACTATACATCGATTCATTCAACCATAATCTTTTTTAAGTCAACCTCTAACAAAAACAATCAAATACACAACATATATACATGAAAATGAGTACACGTGCAACGCACGTGCACCATATCAGTAATATAAAACAATAAAATGATTGTATATATGATAGGTTTGACATACCAGATATTTTTATCACTTCGCAATAGGAATAGAATCAGGTTCTTTAACTTTACATAAAAATAGTTACGCATATTTATACTAACTAGTATAGTGCAAGTGCTTTGCACAAGAGCATATTTGTTTTGTTTTATATTTTTAAAATTTTATTGTTGGCTATAAAATAATAAAATGACTTGTATAGCAATATAAATTCTGAACAATGACAATTTTGTTTAAATGAATAAATTATACAATAAAACTATGTATAAAGAACTATATGTTAATTATTATAGCTCGGATAATCGTTATAATTTATTCATAATGTATTAAAATAATTATAATATATTAAATAATTTCTACTCTTTTAAATGTAATAGTATTATACATAGAATAATTATAATACTATTAGTAACTACATTTTAATTTCATAATTACTTTATTACACTATTAGTAAATAATCTACTAAATTGTATAAATATTAAATTACATTGTAATTTATTAATCTAAAAAATACTATTAAAATCATCATACTATTAATACAATTATAGTTACAATAAATACAAGTTGTTTTCATACTATTATCATACTTTTAAATGGCTAATAAGATGAAAGGTAACAGGTAGTCCTTCGTAAGAGATGAAACCCAAAGGCATAAGGCATAAGCCTAATAAATTTTTATTGTTTTTAATTTTCTAGAATTTTAAATATTATGTGAAGATAAATTAGGGATAAGTTTCAAATTTTCTATTAAATAACCTAATTAAACAATAAAATAATTAGTGTTACCAAAGGTTTTGAAAAAGTGAGGAAATGCATAAGTAATTTTCACAAATCCACCATTAAAAGAAACTTGAGTCATGAATATCACCATAAGCAAGAACTAACAAAGAAATGGAATAGGAAAAAACTAAGCTCACCTGCCCACATTGCTCCTCAATTTCATGCCGGAGCTTCAACACGTATTCTGCGCTCACATCAATGTTGTTCAAAGCAGTAGCAATCTCCGTCCCAGTCTTCTGCACGCCAACACCCCCCAAAAACAGCTTCGCCCCCAAATTTGGTTCCCTCATCTTCTGCTGCAAAGCTTCTTGGTACTCATGGCTCAAAAGACTGGTCGCCCCACTCAACACTGCAAACACTGAATTCATACTCCCAGTCGAAATTGCTCTCCTGCAGCAGCTCTGCAGCACAAAAAACACATCATCCACCATTGATGTTGTCAGACTATCTAGTTGCTGCTCATCGATTGATATTGCCTTCCTCACATTCTCCACCATAAAGAACTCCTCAAGGACCAAATAATACCCAATTAGCTCCTGCACCACTCCATTAAAACTCCCACTACTTAATCTCTTCACAGCCTTTGAACCAAATTCAGGATCAACGAACCCTAATCCCCTGATCTTCGACATCATGAACTCGGTATAATCCTCCCCCAAATGCATCAACGACAAGATCTCCTCCAAGTAAGTCTCCACCTCTCTCGGATCCGGCCCTTCAGGAACCCCAACGGACAACAAATTCTTGCTGCTAGAATTAATCTCGGTTGCCAACCTCGCAATCTTCCTGTAATCCATATACCTCTTCAAGATCTGTGTCCCCCTCGAATCACACTCCTCCTGCAAGCTAGAGATTGCAAACACAACTCCATCCTCCCCTCCCAAATTCCTCAAAACCTCATCATTCTCCTCAACCGCAAGCACAATATCCTTAAACAAATTCGTGAGGCAAGCAACAAAATTAGATCCAGCAGCGTCCTGCGCCGGATCTGTAGAGATCTCCTTCAAATGCTCGAATTCAAGCTTAGATCTAAAACCTACAACGCTCCTGAGATAATTAACGTAGATCTTGAGTCCATCGTCCTGCAGACCAAGCGCCGGGAGGATCCGAACAAAACGGAGGATGGCGTTGTGATCCTTGGCATCGACGGCAGCAGCGAGTTTCGCTTTAATGATCGACTCCAGCTTCGATTTGAGGGCCAGAAGTTGCTGCCGTTGTTCGGAGGCGGAGGAGGAAGGGAACTGAGCGTCGATCTGGAGGAAGGAGTGGACCGACGCGGCGGCAGAGTCGTAGTCTTCGACGTCGAGCGATCGTCGGGCGGCGTCGAGGGACTGCGAACGGTGAAGTGCGGCGTCGATGCGGGAGAGGGCGAGATGCACTCGAGACTGGGCGAGGTCGAGCTGGCGAACGCGAGAGGAGACTTGATCGGCGAGGGAGGCGGTGGAGGAGAGGGAGGAGAGGAGGAGGGACGAATCGGACCGGGGTCGAGAGAGCGCTGGTAGGCGATGCATTCGTGGAGGAGGCGGGTCATCGTGCCGACGTCGGTGAGGGATCGGATTTGGGTTAGGGTTTCGGGGTTGCCGAAGTCGAGGGAGGTTGGGTCGGAGTTTGGGGAGGAGAGGTCTTGGGTTGGGTCTGAGTCGAGGAGGGAGGGTGGGGTGGCCGGCGGCACGATCGAGAGCACCGCCATGGGTGATCGGTTGGTGGTGGTGCTGCTGTTGAGTGAGGAGGAAGCGACGGATCTTCGCTGAAGGTAACTTTAACGGGGAAATGGGCATGAGGAGTGCCTGGGCCGGGTGCTTGTTTTTCAATAAAGCCCGATTGGTTTTGGACAACTTGCGCTTCCATATCATAATAGAACAAATTTTTGTTTTAAACCCATTTCAACTCTTTTTTACCGGAACCGACGGACTCCCATTTTATTTAGCGGAATCGACCCACTTCTCGGCCACGTCAGCAACGTGGCCGAGAAGTGGGTCGATTCCGCTAAATAAAAAAAAAATACGTCGGTTCCGGTAACAACCCCGACTATTTAGTGACCTGCTTAAAAAAAAATCGACCCGCTTCCCGGCCACGTTGCTGACGTGGCAACGTGGCCGAGAAGTGGGTCGATTCCGCTAAATAAAAAAAAAGTCCGTCGGTTCCGGTAATAAAAAGGTGGAATGGGTTTAAAGCAAAAATTTGTTCTATCATAATATGTTCGCCTTTGCTAAATTTGTTTTTTTTTTCTGTCTTTTTTTTTCTTTTCAGGACTGAAAATAATCCAAAAGTTCAAAAAAACTAGGTTTGATTAATACCACTGCAAACTGCTAATTCATTTTGAGGTATCAAGGTTTCCAATTTTTTTACATTCCCGCTTTTTTTGTTGGGAAAAAACGAATTCTTTCAGAATACCTCATAGAAAGGGATGATCTATACGGTTTATGAGTAGTCATATAGTTAGCTTAGAAATTACAACTCTTTTTTTATGATATAAATCACCTCACCCCTATAACAATGTTCTAATAGGATCTCTACCTAGGAATTAAAGGTGGTGTGTGACGTTCTAAGTAATTATGGGAATTAGAATTTGTAGAGAAAATATAGGTTTTTTTGTTTTCCGTTAATGTGATCCCAAATTAATGTTGTTTCTCATAAAAACTTGGAAAATTTGTGTCAATGCCCCCAAAAATCAAAATTTGATGTAGCTTAGTCTCCCTAATTATTTTCATTGTATATTGGCCCTAAAGATTGTATTTTATCCAGGTTTCTCATTTTACTCCTCTTTTATTCTCCACCCACTAAAAAGCTTCATCATCTCCCCATTCTTCATCTCTCTAAATCCTCATCCCTACCTACAACGTCGATGCCACCACAATGTTGCTGCTCCTCCCTCCTCTTCACCTCTCTCCTAACCCTAACCTCCATCGTTGCTCCCCCTCCTCTTCTCCTCCTCTCTCCTAACTCTAACCTTCATGTTGCTCCCCCCTCCTCTCCTCCTCTCCTCCTACTCTCTCCCAACCTTAACTCTAACCCACCACCTCCTCCTCTCTCTCTTCATCTTTCCCTCTAACTCTGTCGTGTCCTTCTCCCTCCTCTCCTCCGTCATCACATACTTCAACCTCATCCTCAATTAGTTTGATTCCAACGGCAATGATAAGATCTCCTCATGCTCCTCTTGTAGCCGTGAAAACTCTATCGTCTTCTTTAGCCCCAACTCTTTCTGAAACCCTATCTCCATCTTGACCTCTCCGCATTCATTTCTTGTGACTTTACCTTGGCAAAACTCTAATTAGCGACCTCACCTCT